AAAAAAAAAAAAAAAGAAATACAGGATCTGCTCAGTTAGAACCTGCATTCTAACTAGACCCACCCCTCAGGTGATTCATAATACTTGTCAGAGTTTGAGAAGCCCAACCTCAAATAGGCTCATACCTGTACACAGGCCCGTGCACGTCTCAGGTGAGGGATGGGGGAGATTTGTACTACCTGCCTCTTTATCTCTTCCGTAAAAAGTGCAGAAAGGAGTGGTGGGCTTCACTTCATCCCTGCAGTTGTTTGGAAGAAGGATTCTGTAGGGCAATGTACTTCTGCCATGAGCAGAGCCACAGTGATTCATCGGTCCCTAGAATTTTCCAAAGGGTAGGCAAGAAGGTGCTTGCATGACAGAGAGGAAGGTGCGGTGGGAGGAGTAAAGCCTGTGGACCATGCTTGGGGCCCTTGGGGCTTTGCTCTGAAGCCCTGGTTCAGATCTGCTGCCACCCAGGCTTCTCAGCCCCACACCTCTGGCCAGGGAGCCCACTTTCCTCAATAGCATCTAGAAGGATGGGCAGCATCTTCAGAGCCCAGTCTCTTTCAAGCAGCCTTGTCACTTTTGATATTTGGACTTCCCTTGGTGACATCATTTGGTCAGAGGCTGGTCTTTCTGCTCAGCTGCGTGGTTTGAGCTCCCTGTGGAGGTGTCACCTCCTCCACAAAGCACTTGCTGGGTCTGTCCCCCCTCTGTGTGGCTGTCCCACTGAGCTCTGCCGCCGGGACCAGAGAGCCCAGGCACCGCACCCTGCCCAGGCCAGCCTCAGCGTTCTCCCTGCAGGCTGGGGCGTCAGCAACCCGGGCGAGTAGTCATATGCGATAACCTATAACCAATGTCTTCTTTTCTCCCCTCGCAATGCTAACCCACCGGAACTAACAGCAAGCATTCAGAATGAGTGTAAGTCCCCCGGGCACCTCTCTGCACTCGTGCCTCTGGGAGGTAGGAGGGCAGCAAGGAGGGGCGGGAGAAGGTCAAGTGAGGAGATACAGGGAGGGGGGGATTAACCGCCTCTCCACCCTGCCTGCTGGGGCTTCTTGACACCGGAGCCCCTGTAGTGCGGCCCCTTGCCACACGGGAAGGGAAGCGGCTCACCCCGAGCATCCTGTTGCTGGGAACAGCAGAAGAGCAGGTGGGTAAGAAGGGCCGCAGCTCCCCATGCTCTGGTGGCCGGCACAGGAGCACCATGAACATCGGAGATGGGGGCCAAGAGTGAGAGGAGCTGGCTCTTCGGCATGCAGACAAGTCCCTGGGGACGTAAGCCTCTCAGCTCCAGCCTCACCGCAGTTTGGCCATCCTTTGACTCTCCAGGGCTCAGAACCATCCTGGCCACTGGGTTCTGGAAAGCTAGCTGCTTTGTGTTCCTTGATCCATTCAATAAATGTATCTCAAGAACTCTTGTGCACTAAGCATTTACTAAGCATTGGGATATAAGAATGGGTAAAACAGAAGTTTCTCATAGGGATTCCATGAGATCTTAAAGGGATTCTTCTTATGCTCAGTCCTTAACATAACCCCTTTCCTGCGGCCTGGTTTAAGGAGCTGGGTCCCTGGAATGGGGCACTGCCCACCCCCTGCTTGCCTGCTTGACACGTGGCTCCTGAAGCTCTTCATTTCAGCCATTCCCCAAGCCAGGGCCCCGAAGCCCTGACCACCCCCTGTTTGTGCTGTTGCAGTATCCCAGCCCCCAACCATCACCAAGCAGTCAGTGAAGGACCACATCGTGGATCCCCGTGATAACATCTTGATTGAGTGTGAAGCAAAGGGGAACCCTGCCCCCAGGTGAGTGCACTGGCAGGTAAATCCAAGCCCCCCCCCACCCCTGCAAAGAGTGCGGGTATTGAAGAGGTATTGAAACCACGTCCTGGCCCTGGCTCTGAGCATAGTTGAAGCAGCTGGAAAATTAAAATTATCCAGCAGACATCTCTTGGATACCTACCTGGTGGAAAGTACAATTCAGAGAACTAAGACGTTTAGCAGATGAGGAGACTGGGATCCAGAAATCTTAAGTGGCTTAAGGTCACACCACGAAGCCAGGACTAGATATTAAGTTTTCTGACTGTTGGTGTCACACATTCTTTCCAATGCCTTATGTCCCCAACATCCCCCCACCCCATGCCTAGCTTATAGGAAGTTCCTCCTGCTGGCTAACTTGAGTCTTCCATTCTGAGCACATCTCGGCTTGTGAGCACATCAGCATCAAATGAGGCATCAGCAGACAAGAACTGAAGGCCTGCAGTGTGCAGGCTGAGTTCAGTGTTGCTCCTCACTGTCTCGTGAGAGCACCTTGCTGCCCTTCATAGACGAACCCATGTCCTCGTGAAGAGGAAGTGAAATGGAAGCACAGAGATATTATGTACTTTTGCGAAGGTCACCCAGCTTGAAAGGGGGCAGAGCCTGGGTTTAAACCCAGACCTCTGACGGCCCCCCCCCGCCCCCCCCCAGGCCAGTTTGATTCTACCAAACAAAAGACACTGGAGATCTAGAGATTGTTCTGCTATTTGTCCCCCACCTTCAAAGCAGCATCCACAGGCTGGACCGTTCAGACCAGACATGACAGGACCCCATGCTGGGCATCTGTCAGGAGAAACGAGGCAGGGCGGAACCTCGGGTGTGTGGTAGCCTCCTTCTGCCCACCCCCCACCCAGTTTGCATGAGCCTGAGAACAAGCAGGGCCTCTCTCATCCAGGCTGGAAGAAGCAGGGTCACCTGGAAGGGTCAGGCAGCACATAGATGGCCTTCTGAAGTTTGGTCCTTTCCACCGTGGTTCCTTTGCAGGGACAATGATTCCATGACACTGAGCAGCCACTAGTGCTCCGGCTTCTTTTAAGGTTATGTCCTGGGCTGCTGCAGGTGTATGCCCCACCCCCAGAAGCAAAGGGAGATTCTAGTCTCTTCACCTCTGGGACCTTTTGAAGGCTGCTGGTTCTTTCAAAGCTGCCCCTCCTGGGCTATAATGTGCGGCCACTGCTTTATACTCTGCACCCACTGAGCAGATAACCTGAGCCATTGCCCTTTGGCTTTAGAGTCAGCTCTCAAACAAGGAGACAGGAGGACCAGAGCTAACTCCCTAATGTGCTTGGCTCGGGTGAAATATGAATTTGGGTTTGTATTCGTAGTCGGAGGTTGAGATGCCCTGCGGGGGAAGCTGCAGCTGACGCTGGATTTTTAAAAAACTCAAAGTCCCTGCCTGCTCCTGCAAAGAACATAAACCCCCAGTGGCTATTTGGGTACCTCTCACAGCCATGACTCCCAGCCTTTGCTGGGTAAGAGCTCTAATGTCAGGAGCCTGCCCCCAGAGTTTCACCTTTCACCTGTGGCTGTGACCTGGGACTCTGCATTTTATCCAGCTTCCCAGCCAGTTCTGCCACTTAACCAGGGTGGTGTGGAGGTGTGGTTATGGGACTGGGCCAGGGACCAGGGCCCTGAGGTTCTTGCCTGGAACCCAGAGCCCACCGTGTTCCTCCTTATTGCCCCTGCTTCTCCCCTCCATCCCCCCCACTGCCCACAGCTTCCACTGGACTCGAAACAGCAGGTTCTTCAACATCGCCAAGGACCCCCGAGTGTCAATGAGGAGGCGATCTGGGACCCTGGTGATCGACTTCCGCAGCGGGGGGCGGCCCGAGGAATATGAGGGGGAATACCAGTGCTTCGCCCGCAACAAATTTGGCACAGCCCTATCCAATAGGATCCGTCTGCAGGTGTCCAGTGAGTGGCACACGGTGGGACTGGCATGCCTTGCTCCTGGGTGCATGGGGCGGGGAGGCATGGAGGATCATTCCAGAAGGGCCACCCCTGTCCTTGGCCAATGGGTGCCTTGGTGCCCTGCATATCTTTCTTGCTTTCCTGCCCCTGAGCAGGAGTACACCTCGCCCTGCTCAAAAAGATTCCTTGGAAAGGAGGCTTCCAAGCCAGAGTCTTGAACAACTGCACTGACACTCTGGGCACGGGAGGAGAGGAAGGAGAGGAGCCTTTGGAGAGGTGTATCTCTTTAGACAGAAGGCCTCTCCTCTCTTGCTGCACCTGGCCTAGACTCACGGGCCTTCTCCGCCCGCTCCCTTGTTCTCTTGTTTGCCCTTCTGCCTTTCCTCCTTGTATGCCTGCCTGTAGCCGAGCTCCTTGCTCCTTGCCCTCCATCACCCTCACTTCATGATCTTCCATCTGATTCTCCCCAGAGTCTCCCCTGTGGCCCAAGGAAAACCTAGACCCTGTCGTGGTTCAAGAAGGCGCTCCCTTGACGCTCCAGTGCAATCCCCCGCCCGGACTTCCATCCCCAGTCATCTTCTGGATGAGCAGCTGTAAGTCTTGGGGGCCCGGTGTTCGATTTCTGCTTTCATCTTAGGGAGTGGGGCCGGTGTACTAAATAGGAGGGCCTTGCCCAAGGTTGGAAGACGTTGACTTGTGAGAAGCATGTGTAAGGGGGCCACATGGCTGAGAACACATCGAGAGGTGGCTCAGGCTCATTTCCTAGCCCAGCTGCTCTTAGCTGTGTGATCCTGAGCAAGTTGTTTAACATCTCAGGGCCTCAGTTTGCTTTTCTGGAAAAAAATAGGGCTAATAATTGTACTTATCTAATAGGATCATTGTAAGGATCAACGAGTTAATACATCCAAAGTGCTTATAACAGAACCAGACGCGCAATAAGTGCTGAGTAATATTTGTGATGATGAAGAAGAAGAGCAAGAGAAAAGAAAAGAGGAGGAAGGCGGGTTGACACCAAGCCTCCTTTCAATCTTTGGTCCGTCTGGATTTACTAAGTGCTGCCTTTCTAGGACAGAGGGGCACAGGAATGAAACCTTTGATGAAGGAGCGACAGGGAGACAGGATGTTTGTAGCAGGGGGACAGAGTATCATCACTGAGAGCTTGTCCTGTTTCATTTTGGGCATTTGGAGATTAATTTAACCACTCTGGACCTCAGTTTCTTCCTGTTTTCAATTAAAGTAAGTGGGGGCGTGTTATAAAGGGGCCTAGAGCATTGCTAGCTGTCTGTGTATTCCTGGCTTCCCCTCCCCCTCCTCCATACCTGCCCCCCCCGCCCCCACCCAGGGCTCCACACCTAGCAGGAAGTTTGCTTGTCTCTCTCCCTCTGCCTCTCCCCCTACTCGTGCGCTCTCTCTCTCTCAAATAAATAAAATCTTTTTAAAAAAATTCAAAATTTGACTTAGAGCATATACTCGTTGTCAGATAATAGGTAATGTGATCTAAAATGATGTTTCAATAACCTTAAAATTAAACTTAAAACTCACCTAATTCTATTCTAGAGCAAATAGAGTTACAGCAACATTTCACA